AGAGAACTCAATATCTCTGTTTCGTCACATTTTACTATTAATTTTCCAGTCTTTACAGAAGAAAGTGTTATTTGATAGACTGGACGTAATTTATAGTCTTTCGGGGGAGAAGCACCACGCACGTTTACAACAGTCATCACGAGAAGAAAGAACGGGATTTCATTAAACCACTTTGTGTTTGAAATGCCTCATTATTTCACTTTCACATGGGACCGTACGCGAAAGCGCATCGGTATGATAGGATTTTTCACCCGAACTATAGTAAATTTTCCTTGATAAGAGTTCACAGTGAGATAGATATTTAGAGCATTGTGATCTTGCAATCTAAATAACAACTTTACAACAATTTAGTATAATGAAAAGACACTTTGCATCTCATGATCTAATGCTGCACCAGAGAAATATATCTATTTCAAAATGTGCTTCTATTTAATCGCATTACGTGTGTTCTGTGGAGATTTGCAAAATTAGCACTTGTTATTTTTACATGTAAAGATGCGAAATTAATTAACATGATGAATATAAAGAATAAGTTTTGCTATTCATATTACGAGATATACATTTAACTTTTCAACAACGGATTTTGAATTTTGAATTTTAAAAATAGTGTAGAGAGAGAGAGAGAGAGAGAGATGAAAATACTCGTCAACTCTCCGGGCCCATGAAATACATAAATACAGATACATTCGAAGTTTGTTTTTAAATTAAAATTCAGAAGAGATTCGAGACCTATGGTGGGTAGATCAAAACATTTGTTTCTGTTACATTGATACACATAAATACAGTAATTGTCCATCTCTGTGAATCATGACTTAAAAGTGAATGGAGGGCAGGAAGGGGGGGGGTGCTGTTAATCAAAACTTGCATGCTAATTATTATTCAGTGAATTTATTATCGTTAGAGGCCATGTCTCCATTAGAATAGGCTGTTTACGATATCGTAGCATTGTATAAATTAAATGTTATTGTGTATGAACTAACGTTTTTTTTTTTCTTTTAAACTGATTTCTATGTATTAAATTATCCAACAAATATTCCCCTCTCCCCCACTTTTTTTTTTTCAAACATACAAATTTGAAAAATGCGCATATCATGGAAACGGAAAAATCTAGACACTTTGAGAATGTAATTTTTTAAAATTGGAATTATATAATGCATAAGTGATCTATGAAAGGAACTCTTCAGATTTCGCCGGTACAAAATAAAATATGGTGCATATGTTGAACTTTTGAATCGTTATATCAATAAATTCACATTTTTTTTTTTTCAAAAATATATATAATTATATATATTTTCATAACAAATGTACAGATACTAGTATTTTTTGTTCGGTCAAATTAAAACATGCTTATTTTATGTGGGTGTCATGTCATTTCATGACTTTTTATGCCGGGTAAATAAAGAAATATATGTTAAGAAAAGTCTTCGATCCAAAGATACTTCACTATTACCCATCCCGTAGCAACAGCAAGGAAATTAGAAAGTTGGTACAGTGAATATTTATCAGCCGTAGAAAATGAACCATTTCAACTTGCTCCCACTCGGGAAAACACCGTGTATTTGATACTATCAGTAGAGCTATAAAACGAATAGATGATCCATTATTTTCATTCACTTAGGTAATTTGAGAGAATTTATCAATGAGTATGGAACTTTGAAAGTAATTGACTAGAAACTTGCAAGAATGCTGAAATTGCATGATCATTAAATTCTCAGTTGCTTTGACGTGGCATGTAACATTAATAAAGAAACTTTTTAAAGTTGTATGTAACGAACGTCACAAAATTTAGATCTTTCACGCTACTGTATTCTCGGGTGTCGCAAAATGCATGTACATGTTTTGTTAGAAGACGTAAGTATGAAGGATCTTATTTAAACTCGTGTTTAATAATAAATAAATCATTGAAATAATGCAATCATTAATTCTGTAGAAATGCATAAGGTTTTTTTCCTCACATCAAACAGTAACATGTATATATTTTACAGTTATCAAAACTTTACACGTTATATATTTTAACCTATCCCTTTTACATGTAAAAAAAAAAAGTTTCAACATATTTTATCAGTAATTAGCTTAGATTTTTGTAAGTTAGATTGTCCTCTCCTATATACAAAGAATATAAACAAAAATGCTCGTTACACGAAAAATGTAAATAAATATATTTAGAGTGCGGGGTATGAAATGGTTTATAAGAACAGAAAAATATTGCAGAGGGAAGAGGGTTGTAGAAGAAAGAGAAATGATCATCAAAATCAGCAAAATCTTTTCATTTTTTTTTTAGATTTACTTGTGCAAAGCTTTAAAAATGTTTGATATTCAGGCGCCCCACAAATGGGTCCTCATGGAGGATAATATCAAGGGCTAATATTCATTTATTATTTCTTATGGTGTGAAATAAAACGGATCTTAACTCATTGTACATTTTAAAATGCAGAAAATAAATCTCGGTGTTTTCGTTAATTAACCCACAGGAAGACTGCGTTTATCTAAAGGACTTATTTTAGATAAATCCGATTTTATATTTATACATTGATGGTAAATGATAAAGTTTTAGCGTAACAAGATTTCATATTCCTTGAGAAATCGTTTATTTAAACCCAAATATATTTTTATTAAAATATTTTAAGTACGTCTTTCAGATTCTAGCATTTTATGCGATGTCAATTATGCGACGAAAGAGTAACAGTTATTAGCGGAGTACCAAGCTATTCAATGTTAGGAAAATCTGACCCTTTGATGTCTGTGATGAGTGTTTCGGACATCTGTCTATACAAGTTAAAGGCGACCCGTCGAAATGATTCTAGTGCTGCCATTGGTAGAAATTAATGACAGGCTTCAGCCAGCCCATCGTATGCAAAATAAGATTAACATGGTAACATTTCCCGCGAAAACTTACACTCTTTCAGAAATTCTATTATCCTGTGTTCTGTTGGAATCTCCGAACGTTCTCTATACATCAAGGTAAGATATCTTTTAATTTCTATTTTTTTTTTATGTAAAAGTAAATTAGATAGTTCATCGATTCATTAAAATCTCTTTAGTTCATGAGGGATCAAGCTTAAATAATTTTGAGGCTTCAGGTTGTACCACATTATCAAAATTTAGGACATCGTCTTAGCAAAATTGTAGAGCTTTAGATGTTAATTTATCATTTTAAATAGATAATTTAAAACAAACGTCGTGGAAGAAGTACTCCTGTTCACATTTTTTTAAAACAATACATTATATATACATTTGTAGTATATCTCTATGATATATACATGCAGAGAGCAAATATCTTCATTTTCACAGGCCACAGGTCATTACTTGACCTAATCACACTGCGCAATCATGCACGGATCTAGAAGGGGGGGGGGGGGCGGGACCCCTGGAATTTGCAGAGTTATTAAATATATATACTATTCCAAGTAAAATTGACCTTGGACCCCCCCCCCCCGAAAACACGATCCCTCCTCGAAAACGCGGATCTATGTGAAATTGATATGAAAAGTCATAGCTCTCTATGTGAAATGGGTATGAAAAGTCATAGGTATGAAGCTTTAAATGTCAACAAACACGACCCAACCCCACCCCCCACCCCCTTCACGAAATAGGTATTTCACGTTTGGGAAAAGAGTTGAGTTTTTTCTTTTTCTTTTTTTTTTTTGTCTGTTTGTTTGTTTGTTTTTCTTTTTTAAAATATATTTCTTGGATGGAAAAGTTTTTTTTTGAATGGGGTGGGCGGGGGGGGGAGGGGTCCACCCCCGTAAAAAATTCTTGGATCCGCGCCTGGCAATAATATCTACCGGTACATAAAATGACTTGTTTAATTTAACAATGAGCATGCTTTTCATGTATAAAAAAAATAGGGATGGGTATAGCCAAAAATTTCATATCGCGATATATCACTTCAATCCTTATCATGAACTGCCATTTTTTTTACACAAGAAATTTGAAAATCTGTTGGAAAAATCAATGCATTGCAATCAAGCCAGGAACAGCTGACAAACACTTCTGTCCCTGTTTCGGGCTGACACGCCATTGATTCAAAGGGGAATTCGTAAGGTATTTTGCTTCAGCCTTGTTTCGACGTACATGTAAAACTAGGGGAAAATTCTGGTGATTAGTGTTTTACATGTATCTTCACATTTAGAGTAAGATGGGGAGGTTTTCTGAAAAGGGAGAAGTAAGTTTAGACGTTTGAAAAATAATAAAGTCGTCATGGTACGTGGTAATTAGATTCTTGATTTTCCGGCGGGGGGGGGGGGGGGGTCAAGTAATAAATTTGAAATCAAGGTCAACTCAATAGGCAAAAAAGGGTGTGGAGGATCATAAAAGTCTGTGGTGCAGAGTGCCAATATATATTTCATAGGAAACTTGAACTGTGCACATCGAATTAAAATGGACTTATATGTTAAGATGATAGAAAAGGAATAACTTTACTGGTATTTTTTTGTGTGCAATTCTTTTAAGCTTTAATGAAAAAAAAAAAAACCTGTAGAATTTCAAGTTGACACACACTCACCTAAACAACCTCCCACACAATCCCACACCCTCCCTCTCACACACAGAGACACCCTCACGCCCACACACCCACACTCACAAACATTAAAATACCATCTACTGGCCGTTTATAGTACAAACATCTTCACATTAGGTAATATGTAATTATTGTATGTAAATAGATTAGATTCACTTACTTTGATCGTCAACAGTAACTTCTATGTCCTTGCCATCAGTATCACAAAGAGGGAGTCTACTGTGCGTCGCAATTTGTGGGATCTTCTTTATAATAAAAAAAAATTAACAAAAAATCCGTCGGCATAATTGTAGAATGGCTGAAACATATCACTGGAAATCGAAATATTTGCCCTCAATAGTGTATTCGAATTCGATTGGCTATATCCCCAAAAATCACCAATCAAATTAAGAATAACTGTTTGACATGCGCAGAAATAAAGGAGCGGAAGTTAAATACTCATTCAAACATTTTGTTGCAGATCAAGAAAAACGTATTGAAGATGAAGATCTTTTGCATTCAAGTGAAACTGTCAATTCAGGACTAGGTAAGATATATGATTTTGACTTAAAAAGCATGTGCCATTTGTACAAAGTATTTAAGTTTTAAAGAATGATTGAATGTTAAAAGTTAAATGTTCAGCATACATGTATTAAACAAGACAAGATATAGAAATGATAAATAATAATAATAAAAAAAACTTGTAAAAGAGTGAATATATATACATATTTTTGGTCCTTTAATACTGGAAAATCGTAACGTTAAGACTAAAAGGACCGGCATTTCTTTTAAATTATACCAACATTGTACGTACTTAATGAATTTTTTTAATCGAAAATTTATTTTCCTGTAAGTTTTAATTGATTAATTATCAACTGAAATGAATTTTTAAAATCCTATAGTATGCCGTTTTGTTTAAATCTCTAAGCTTCCAAATTATGAAGATATCTAGACTGAATGTGTAACGAGAATTTTTGATTGCGCATTCGATAACTTCGGATAATTCCCGGCGTTACTGACATGAAACAGCCGAGATGTGTCGAATGAGTAATTGTTAATCCATTCCTTACCCTTGAGGTTATTTTTATCAGTGTCCATAAAACAAGAAGTAGTAAGGCTGATTTTTCCCATTAATATAATTTAATCCGCAACCATCGTTCTGTTCGCATCACGGAGTACACACATGTAATGAATAATGGTTCAAGGGATAATAACAACTGTGTAGATAGAAAAGACAATGCTTTCTGCCCTGTTTTAAAATTATTTTCACAAATGCCGCTTTTCTAATTTTAAACTGACAAAATGTCAGAAATACTCAAGCTGTAGAAAGTAGTTACAAAGAAGTGTCATTAATATTCATAATCTAAAGTAAGAAATAGGCTATTAAGTATTTTCACGTGCTTGATAAATATAAGAAAGAGTTAAGAATTTTTAGTAACCTTTTAACATCATACAAAACTTAATATTTCATTAATTATTCTTTTACGGACACACGTCTTTTAAAAGTTATTTTTATTGAGAATATTTCAGGAATATCCGTGGAAGCATTATTTTCTGTTGAACCCGTCCGTTTTAAGCAAATTGCTTTTCCATGAACGTATTTTTATATGCTACATGTATTTATATTATTCAATTCACTTACATGTAATATGTATATCCTAAAGACATAGCAAAATATGATCTATTACACCAGTATTAAGTTTCTTTTTTAAATGAGAACCCCCCCCCCCGAAAAAAATCCCTCAAATCGATTAAAATTGGTACATCAAATTCCAGTCATTTTTCCTTTTTTTTTTCATCATCTTCGCTTTTCTATTATTTCCTTTAAAATAGAAATTTACCAAAAAATCGGCATGCGATGATAATCCCTAAAACTTATGAATTATGTTTTATCGAATACAGCCCGAGAAATTAATAACAGTTCTATGACAGGGAAAGAATTTACGACTTTGTAATATTAAAATATGTACAAAATTGTTGTTACATGTAAACTGGAATAGAGTAGTCAGATCAATACACTGTTTTACCGACGAAAGATTAACCTGTTTCACCTTTCAACAGTAACCAATGAACTCGTCCGTTGACGGTTGTGGGAAATTCTACGAAAAGGAAAAGCAATCGTCGGTAACCAACGGGTGAATCACGTCGAATTTCTCTACCTTGTGGACTGGTTTTGATAATTTGAAATTTTGTTTTGTTTCCTTGATACCTAACAAACGTGTGAATATGTATTCAATATGCCCGGAATAGGTACTCAGAATAATTACCGTGTGTGTTGTGTGTGTGTTTGTGTTTAAATAATTGATGTGTAAAGTTTTTTTTTCATAAATAGATAAATTATTCAGTATGCTTTCAAGTAAACATCATCTGTCTCCCTCAGCCGCGCTTACTCTTTCCTCGCATATTTAATAAGGCCACCTAAAAAATAATGTTCGTTGGACTTCTCACTCAAAATGAAATCGAAGTACCGATATTCTTCACTGTCAACCGGAACTAATCCATTTACTAAATATAAATAACAATGAAATGTAATGATTCATTGAAATATCTCGTAATAAATGTATAATCTTGGTTACAGATTCTGATACCCTAAAAGAATATGAAGCAGTGAATGAAAGAATGGGATTGTCTTGTGGAGTTTTAAAAAAACGATCGAATTTATGTTATACTCGATGGCATCGACTAAGATTAAAAACCTAAGGTAATCTCTCTCTCTCTCTCTCTTTCTCTCTCGATCGACATTAGGTAATCTTTATATATAACGGACTCTTTGATCTGTTATCATGACACAGAGAAAAGATAGGACTGGACAAATATTTCCTCATATTAAGCAATACAAGTTTTTAAAGAAAAATCTGCCAAATCAAGTCTAATGCTCATTGTCATAATATAATAATAGGAAGTGGTGCCATATAAATCTATGCTTTGATTTTTAAAACATATTTACAAATTACGTTCATATGAAAAATGTTTGGTCTTTGTGAGGTAAAGCATTTGAACGCATGTAATTAATCAACAGTGTATTTCATACCCTATAAATGGAATTCGTTACAGGAACTATAATACAAAGTGACTTTACGCCCTAAAGTGGTAAAGAAACAATATTAAACAGCTATTTCTATTGACTTCTTCAAAATTGTCAAATGGACGATTTTTTACGCAGCAACTGGTTCACTAAGATGTCATAATTCTTTTCTTCTGCTGTAATAAAGCTTTCATTTTGTCAATTGAATGAGGATATTTGAAATAATAATCTGCCTGAGAATTATAATTTCATACGCTCATCTTAAGGCAGGGCATATTTTGTTATGGCGTTTATGTTTGTCCATATGTCTGTCTGTTTACTTTTTCGTGTCCGGCTCATAATTTTTATACTATGAGCATAGAATTAAGAAACTTTGTTCGCTGGTACATCTTGTGTAAAAGGTGTGTTTCACTCTAAAAATAGGTCATTGTGACCTTTAATTAAGATGTTATTGTCAAGAAAGGGGAAAATCCTGTTCGGCTCATTACTAGATAACTTTTAGACCAAGAACCGTAATACTCGGCCATTTGATGCATCTTAAATAGAGGGTTTGTCGCATCCTATTTAAAGGGCACTTTGACCTTCATTTAAGGCAAAATTTAAATATATATATATATATATATATATATATATATATATATATATATATATATGTCTTTACATTTTAAATTATACAGTCCCAAAAGATGTAAGAATATTGCAGATATTTAATAAAATGTTTCATCAAGAAAATACACAGTTTTTTTCTCATTGCTAACTTTACAACAATTTTTAATAAATATGATAACGTTTTGCTTGTGTCAAAAACAAGAGAGAAATTCCACATTGGTACAATTATCAAGCAGTTGTCAAGAAGAATTTTAATAACAAATTAGATGTTGAATTAGAGATAAATTAATGAGTTTCCTGTGAGGAATTAACTGGTAGAGCATCTCTGATCAGGCAGATGTTATCTAGATCTCTTGGGACTTAAGCAAAGGAGTTTAATTGCTCAGTCTTGGATAAAATTATCTTGTTGTCTAGCCTCTTTCATAATAAATCCAGTATAAAGTAATGGAAACTAATTTGAAATTGTACAGTGTGATTTTTTTTTAATATTGTCCAGCAAATGACAATGGTATTAATTGCTTAGATAAAGACTTTTTGCAATACACAAAGTCTGGAAAAGGGAACAAATCTGATGGCAATTTTGGCTGCTTAACGTCTATGAGAAATATTTGGGGGGGGGGGGGGGGGGATCTCCTGCAGGGTCTTGGTTTACTCATCTCTGGGACTTGTCCTAACCTCTTTTATTGGATGTTTCCATTAGGAAGTACTGGCTCATTTTGCCACATTTTTAGAAAAAAAAATAAAGATACAAAATGCAGTTCTTTATTCATATTTCTTACCTTTTTTTTAAGTATCTGAGGTCAAATTCCATGTTTACCCCATCACACTTCTCTGCCTAAATCTGTCCAGCATTATGCACAAATATAATAAATTTGTTTGGTGAATGTAAAAATTCAATTAATGGTTTATTTGATAATATATTAGATAGAAAAAAATATCAAAGAATGTGAATTTTACCACTCAAATGATGTATATTTTTTACAGGGTATTACAGAAGAGGAATAGAATATTACACTGTGGCAGTTGTTGAATACTTGGGAGTAATAGAGAAGAACAAGTAAACCTACTGCAAGACTTTTTTAGGAAAACTCGATGAACAATTTATCATGTCTAATATTAATATGAAGGTGGAGCTTAGCTCTTGCCATTTTGCCGGGAAATCTTTCTGATTCAGAATTGAACCTATTTTACTTAAATAAAAGCATCTAAATACAGAAAAGAACCTCCCATTTTTGTGAATATGCATAGGAAATATGGCCAAGTGACAGGTATCCAAAGCTGAATCTCTAAGGTGTCATATATTTCTAGCTTTGGCAGATTTTGTTGTGTAATGGGTTTTTGACTTCTACTATAAAGTAAGATCAGACAGTGTGTGGTATTATTTCAAAGGATTCAGCTCCCTTATTTATTGACCAATTTCTCTGAAAATTGGATGGGTTGCTTCTCAAATGTGTGTTCACAAAACCGTATCTCAGATTTTTGATATCTAGCTTAGTTTTGGAATTATTGAGGAAAATGTTAAATTAGGCTAATAAATTGATAATATTGAAGAGCAAATGGCTGTAACTTTTGAATTAGAAGATTTATAAAAAATCTGAGATACAGTTTTTAAGTTCAATCTTTAATCTACCTTGAGGCAAAATGACCACTTTGAGGGGTTAAATACAAAAAGGTTGATTTATAAAATATTTATGCACTAAAATTTACATTAAAATTTAAATAATTTTTAAATAAGTTATTAATTAAAGTTTAAATTAGGATAATTAAATAGTAAATTTAACAAGCTTTCAAATGATATATACCTTTATTATGTTATCTTTGATAATGAAAGAATTACATGTAAATTAAATTCTGGCATTTGGAAACCTTTGGTGTATCCTTAAAAGAATTGCATTAATTGAAACATAGCTTTCTTAACAAGCAGTTGTTAAGAAAATATCTTGAACATACTCCTAATCTTTTTATTAAAAAGTTAAGACATTTTTCCCAATGTTTCCTGAGTTGTCTAGCCTTGGTCCTCTAACAACTAGTTGTTAAGAAAAGAATATTTCATTAAACTTGTATGTGCTATATTTGCTTAATAATTTTAATTGATTGTCAATTGTCAATTTTTATCCCGGTTTTCTAGCAAATTTTAAAAGGATTCCATGGACCTACTTCTAGCATCCTTAGCAAGCAGTTGTTAAGACTTTATTCCGTTTGACTTCCTTTCCATTTCTAACAACCAGTTGTTAAGAATATATCCTGTGAAATTCTTCTGGTATTCTTAACAAGCAGTTGTTAAGACTTTATTCCGTTTGACTTCCTTTCCATTTCTAACAACCAGTTGTTAAGAATATATCTTGTGAAATTCTTTTGGTATTTTTAACAAGCAGTTGTTAGGACTTTATTCCGTTTGACTTCCTTTCCATTCCTAACAACCAGTTGTTAAGAATATACCTTGTGAAATTTTTTTGGTATTCTTAACAAGCAGTTGTTAAGACTTTATTCTGTTCATCTTCCTTTGCATTTCTAACAACCAGTTGTTAAGAATATATCTTGTGGAATTCTTTGGGTAGTCTTAACAAACAGTTGTTAAAACTCTGTATAAAAGTGTAACAGTTTTACTTAATTTTATTTAACAAGCAATTATTTAAGAATTCCTTCAGCTTATTTTTCATGTTCTTAACAAACAGTTGTTAAGACATGCCAGATATATAATGGTTTCTTTAACAAGCATTTGGTAAGAATTGGAAAATAAATTGTTTAAAGTATGCATAGATTTCAGTTGTCTTTTTTGTACTTAACAACCATACAGAGCTTTTGATCAAATGGAATTGATCAAGTTAAAATGGAAGGTGTTAGATTCAAAATTATTTGGAACAACCCACTCTGTAGTCTGTACTAGAATAACTAGATTTGATGAATTAAGAATGTAGAAAAGCAATGTAAAACTGTTGTCCTTAGAGAATTGCTATAACAACCTTGTTCTCTATAAATCTACATAACTGAAAAGATGTGACAATTTCTAATGTAAAGCCCAAGTAAATAGATATGCTCCTGCAACTTCAGTAACACTATGTTTACAAATCAGTACATGTACACATGGATTTTACTTCTTTTACGCTTCTAAACGTAAATATTGTCTGACATTTTCTTTTTCACAAAATTCACTGACAAAATAAAAATATATTTAAATGCAACTTATAAATGATTCCAATATGATCATGTTGATATACAGTCAAACCTCATTATCTTGAACTCGATGGAGCCAAGAAAAAACTTTGAGCTATCTGAGGATTTGAGATTTTAGCCTTAAGGGTAATATACTTGAAGAATAAGTGGTTGGGACTTCTCAATGACTAAGACATAACCACAGTATTTGATATATCAGTGTTTGGGATACTGAAGTTCAACTGTATTTTGAATTGTTGTAGGAAATAATAGGAGAGGAGAAGCTAACAACCATTCTTAAGGAGAGAGATGTAAAGGTTTACTGGGGGACAGCCACTACGGGGAAACCCCATGTGGCATACTTTGTCCCCATGTCTAAGATAGCCGACTTCCTCAGGGCCGGATGTGAGGTAAGTAAAAGTATCAACTGTTGCTCTTACAACTACAATGTAGTTTGAAGTGCAGTTTTCTGTAAAAGCAGGAAGAATTGGGTAAAGTGCAAATGATATGGTGCTACATAAGCTGATAATGGTTATTTACTTATTTGAATTTGTTGAAAGAAAAGTTGAGGTCATCACATTTATCATTAAGTTCATTTGTTAGTTTGCCATCTGTGTCTTTTTCTAGTAAAACAAAACATGAAAAAGATATGTCAGACTCTATGGTGACTTCTTTCAAGTTCAGCGACATAATTACATGGAATCAATGAATATTGTTAATTGATAAAACATTGTCTTTATTTGTAAACATTGAATTTAATACCTTAATTTCCTCTTTTTTTTTCAGGTGACCATTCTGTTTGCAGACTTGCATGCTTACCTAGATAACATGAAGGCCCCCTGGGATCTGCTGAGTTTACGAGTCCAGTACTATGAGAGGGTCATCAAAGCCATGCTCAAATCTATAGGGGTCCCCCTGGACAAATTGAAGTTTGTGAAGGGCTCAGACTACCAGCTCAGCAAGTAAGTAGATAAGTTCATTGTATAGGAAAGTTTAGTATAGCATTATTGTTAAGATATTTCCCATTTTTAAAATTTTAGAAATTTATAGAAAAATTTCAGAGGGTGAGAAGAACGATTAATGTTTCAACCTTAAATAATGATAAAAAAAAGTGGAGTTTTTTTTTTTTAATATTTTTTTTTCTGATTACAAGGTTGCAATAAACTCATTAGAACTTGACTTTGTCTTGACACAGTACATATGTAGACTACATGAACATGCATCGGACATGCAGATAGGGTGACATCATACTCAAAATTTTTGTATGAATGCAATCAATTATTAATAATGAATCCAATTTTAATCAGATTAATGTATTAGAAATAATTAATACATATGTTAATGTACAATATGTCCTAGGATCACAAAAAAGGTTGATTCAATCATCTTTAAGTTGTCCATATTTAAATATGAACATAAGGAAGTATACTGATTTTGACTTAAGTCTTGTTGCATGGTCTATGGCTAGACGATATTTCTTTTCTGAGAGGTTTCAGCAGTTATATGATTTATCATGTGCTTCAGTGTACATATATAACCTCTACACCAAAAAAAATGACAGGAATATCTTTTAATAATATTGCCATATTTATAACAGAAAAAATAAAGATATGAAGTGGAAACTTTTACAATGTGGAAATGTTGACAAAATTGATGAATTTCTTAAAGTCATCAAAGTTTCATCTCGCCGACTTTCATATTCCTCTTAAAGAGAGCACTGTTTAAATACTTGAAAATTGTCATTTTCTATTTTGCCTTTTTTCTTATATGGAATTTGTCAAATATTTCACAAACCTTCAACAAATTCATTATACCGGTAACCACTTTAATTTACAATATCTCTCTAATATAAGGATGAATTACATATTTATTTTCTCTGCAGAGAGTACACTCTGGATGTGTACAGAATGTCATCTATGGTAACAGAACACGATGCCAAGAAAGCGGGGGCTGAGGTAGTCAAGCAGGTGGGGAATCCCCTCCTAAGTGGCCTCCTATACCCAGGACTGCAGGTATCAGTGCTGACTGTGCTAACAAACTTAATTGATTTACAAAATTGTCTATGAATAAGGCAAATACATGTAATATGTTATTAAATACTGAAATCAGAAATAATGAAATTTAAGTATTTACAAGACCAAATTTTTAACAGACCAAGTGTAGTTTTTTAAGGCACAATTTTATAAATGTAGATTTTCTGGGTAATGTTTAAGTGAAATTTGAATTGAATTTTCATATTTGTTAGGCTCTAGATGAGGAGTACTTAAAGGTTGATGCTCAATTTGGAGGTGTAGATCAGAGGAAAATCTTCACATTTGCTGAAAAGGTTGGTTTGAGGTCTGACGACATGTTGGTCGAATATCTGTTTTGTATTTCTTCGTAAAATACAACAGATTAATCATTATTATCACTTATTTCTGTTTTTTAAATTGTTTTCAAAATGTCTAAGTAGACAAAGACACAAAAAATTGTGATATTGACAATACTAGTGATTTCCAATAGGATTCTATAGTAAATAACATCCTCAGGAGAAGAACTTGTAAGTTGTAAGAAGTTCTTAACACAAAAGGATTAGAAACAAGTTCTTAGAACTTGTTTCTAATCCTTTTGTGTTAAACAATAAAATATGTTCAAATCAAAATCCTCTGGTATCTTGCAAAAATGCCTGGTAAGGTACATTAATTTTTTGCAAGGAAACTTGATTAAGTAGCAATTATTGAGGAACTAAAATACAAATTTTAATGCAAAGAGTGAACCCCATACATGGAAAATTGAAAGGTGAATTTTCTAAAATCAGTGTTTAATGATGTGGTGTTAATCAATATTTAATGAAAAGTTGAAAATGAAATTATTTTAAATTTTATTGTTTTTCAGTACCTACCTCATTTAGGGTACACAAAAAGAATTCATCTCATGAATCCTATGGGTAAGTTAACTTCTGAAACATTGAGTTCATTCTAAATCTTTGTAACAAATAATTTATATACTGTACATGTATAATTAATTACCAGTAACGTAACAGAGAATATGATAAAATTTGAAAATATTTTCTCAGGCTGAGCTTTGTATGCTTGATTGTTATTAAAGTATAAAGATACATTTCACATATGTATTTCAGACAATCTTAAAGTTCTCGGTACTGAACTATGTGTAAGATAAAAATATTGATGTGTCTAAGATTTTTCGTTGATTGAATTTAATCATGGATTAAACTTCTACAACAAAGATTATCAATCTGAAAAGATAATATCATACATAAATGTATAAATATGTTTACTGTTGTATGAGATTTCAAGAAATCCTTATTTATAAGAATTAAATTTAACTCAATACTTGGTCTAGTACAGTTTAAATGAATGCCAGTAAATGAGAAACAAGACTCAAATAAAGTATGGGTATTTATTAATATTCTGAATTTTTGTAGAAAATTAATATTAATTTAAATGAACTTCATTTTAATGTTAATTGTTAATATCCTGTTTTGATTACCCACAGTCCCTGGGCTGACGGGGGACAAAATGAGTTCCTCCGTGGAGGATTCTAAGATTGATTTACTGGACTCCCCCGCTGCTCTGAAAAAGAAGCTAAAGAAAGCCTTCTGTGAGCCGGGCAATGTGAAGGATAATGGCGTCTTGTCCTTCTGTCAACATGTATTGTTCCCACTCAGAGCCAAAGAAGGTATTAGAGTATTGTTAAGTTTTTATGTTGTGATACAATGTATACTAGCCCAAATATCAAAATTTAAAAAATGGCGTGATGGGGTATTAAGAACTTTATTGTGAAAAACTTGGCTGACATATCATAAATGAGCTAGGGAATAGGCTTCTCTCTTGGTTTCAATTTACATCAAATTTACCACCCACTAATGTACCGATACTTGTCTTTCAATTTGAAAATTTTTTTTAAAATTAATATTGAGCGTAGATTATCTCCCTTTAACCACAGTTTGTATTTTTTTCTTGTTGACAATGTTTGTATTTGATATTCTGTAGGTTTCCTTGTAACCAGGAAGCCAGAGTTTGGTGGTGACTCACTGTACACCACCTATGATGAC